TCATACATAAAATTGCATACTTTGTCCGTTTTTTTTATTATATTCTTGGTGATAGATCCTCAGAGGGTATTAATGTAATAAAATCTTGAGTATATTACTATCACATTGTCCTTTAAAAAATTGTGCAGGGTCATCAGCATGGTTAATGAAAAAATAACCAGTTCAGGCCCAGGAAATTTAAATGATGCTCAGAAAGTTGGTTCTGTGATTTCTGCATTAAACTCTTAGGAATTCTTATGGAAAAACAAACAATTGCCCTACCAGTGTGGCTCAATTGTTTAGGCATCATTCCACAAAGTGGAAAAGGTCCCAGTTAGATTCCCTGTGGGGCACAGGCCTGGGGCACAGGCCTGGGTGCTTGCTAAAGGCAATCTATGGATGTTTCTTTCTAACCTAGATGTTTCTCCTCTTCTCTCTCTCTCCCTCCCCCTAAAAATAAATAACATCTTTTAAAAATTAAAAGAAAAACGCAAAAACAACTGTAGAAAGTTTTATATTTTAAAAAACAATTCAACAAATGAGGTCAAAGTAAAATCTGGTATTTGGGTACAGCTACTTTCCTTAGAGGCATACGTTTAGACCAAATTAAACCTGTAGTTAAAGTTGTGTTATAAAATGATAATCCTATTAAATTTAAGAAAAAGTCAGTTTTTTTAATACTCACCTGTGGATATGCTTACTGATTTTAGGGAGGGACTGAGGGAGGGAGGAAAGGAGAAGAGAGAAACATCCACAGGAAAAACGTTGACTGGTTCCTTCCTCTATGCACCTCAACCAGGGATTGAGCCTACACCCAGGTATATGCCCTGACTGGGATATAATCAACCCCAGATTATGGGGTTGAACCCATAATCTCTTGGTGTGTAGTATGGTGCTCTAACTAACTGAACCACTTGGCCAGGGCAAAAAGTAAATCTAATAGAGAGAAGGCTTTAAATATAAGATTTGGAAACATACTGAATCGCAGTTTACCAAGATACTAATTATCTGTATTTATGCTTCCCACTGTATCATGATTTAGCCTCTAATATTCAAAATAAAATAGTGTTACTGCCTCTCCTGAAAAGTTTAATGTTTATTTACATTTGTTTAAATAACTATAGGTTAATCTTTACTCTATTTTAAGAAAGGTAATTGGAGATAAAAGTGAAGGAAATTGCTTAAAGTGGTGATGTAGCTGTGTCTACTATCCATGCTCCTATGATAATGCTGTTCAGAATAGATCAGACTTTTTAAAAGATTGTATTTATTTATTTTTAGAGAGAGGTGAAGGGAGGGAAAAAAGAGAGAGACATGGATTGATTGCCTCTGTCACACGCCCCAACTGGGGACTGAACCGCCACCCAGGCTTGTGCACTGACCAGAAATGGAACTGGCACCTTTTTGCTTTTCAGGATGATGCCCACACTGGTCAGGGCTAGACCAGAATTTTTTATTTATTTCTGGCCTTCCTAAACCTTGGTGTCATGTCTTAACAAGTAGTTGCTTTACTAACCAGGCTCACATTTTCTGTCCCTATTTCAAATGATTTGGAAATGTGTTTTCAACAGTGATTATTTAGGTTTTCATTCTTTCACAAAAGGATCTGTCAATTTGGGAAATGTAGTTTTAGTGCTGGTTTGTCAGCTTCTTGATTTCAGTTGTAAAAGAGAGTGTACACTGGTTGCAGTCGTTAGAGCTTTAATAGTTCATTGTAGTTGTAGATTTTTTTGGTTGCAAAAGACAGGTACAGTTCTATGCAACCTAGCTTTAGAAGAGACATTGAAAAGCTAAGATTTCACTAAACTGAAGAATGAAGACTATAGTACAGCCAGGCTGCATGGGAGCTGGGACTGGGAACCAGAAAGGTTTCAGCATCCAAGGTAAAAAGCCTCATTTTAGAGGCATTGTCAGCTCAGTTTGTTTCTGTGTATCTGCTCAATTTCTTTACAGACCTATTCTCTACTCACTCACTTGGATCTGGCCCAAATCCTGACTAAGTGACTTTCCAGGCAAAAGAAAGAATCTGATTGTTCCCAGTCCATTTGGTCAAGCCATCTAAATTATTGGTTGCTGGTTAGCCAGTGAAATGGGCCCTGGTATCATGTGGCTAATCAATTGGTTAGAAGTGTACATCTGTTGAGGGTTTCACATAGGAAACTGATAAGGTCTGTGCTGAAAGTATGTAGAATGCTTTGATAGCACATACATGATGGGTACCTAATCAGTTTGATGTCTTAAAATGGCTTTCAGGAAATTTGACCCTTGAAGAAAAGTGGAATTAGCATTCAAAAAGGGAGTTACAGAAGACATCATAAACAAATGGAACAGCATGTACAAAGATGGCCCAGATGTTCTGGATTCTGGGAACCCCAAGTATTTTTATGCCTGGATTTTGGATGCATTTAGATGATAAAGCAAGAACAGAGGGGGTCTTTGAGGAAATAAAAACAGTGGGGTGACATGATGAAACTTAGGGTTTAGAAAGATCACTCTGGTAGCTTTTGTGGAAGACCATTAACAAGGAGTTGAGATTTGAGGCAGTGTGATTGGTTGTGAGCCATTGTATTGATACAAATGAGGAATGATGAGGGCCTGAATTAATGTCACACATATTCGGGGGGTAGTCTTTATAGCATAGAGTGAACAATTGTTTGAAGAAGGGGGAAGAGTCAAGGAGATAAACAACCTCCAAATCTCAGGAGATTGATTTCACGAAGATTCATTCTTATACTAAACTGGTAAGGTGGGGAACTCTGCTCATTGTGACACTCTGAGATGAGGTTATGTATCAGCCACCCATCTCTTGAATGTTGCTGGTCACTGTGGCAGAGGGAAAGAGCTGAGCGTGGCCCAAGGAGCTACTGAATAGCTGAATAGTGACAAGGCAGTTTTGCTCGAATTTAATTGGCCAAAGGAAATTGCATGGCTACACTTAACTTCAAGAAACAAAGAAATGGAATTTTACTATGTAGCCAGGAGATTCGGAAGTATTCATTGAACAGTACTAATGGTGTTCACATTAGTGACTCCCAAATATCTGACATGGCTAAGTAGTTGAGATATGAAGTATAGGACGTTGGGCAGGACTTGTGAGGAAGGAGAATGATGAATTCTAAGACTTAATAAGTTAAGGTTAGGTCTGGTGACTATAAGGTGTAATATTCCAGCAGTCACTTGGAACTAGGAGTCTACATTACACTTAGTAATGTAAAGGTGACTTAAGTCTGGATGCAAAGACAAATTCATCTCAGAGACAAATGCATGAAGCGGTTGACTTAGATGTTGAGGTAGGGATTGTTGGAGTGGATTCCCCTGAAGCCTGAATGAAATGGCATTAGGCAGGAATGAATTGAATTGAGTTGGGTTGGGTAAGAAAGAGGTAGAGCTTTATTTTATCTTTGCAACTTTAGTCAAGTTAGGTTAATAATAATATGAATGGTTTCAAGTTCTAAATGCAAATATATTTTGAACTTGTATTTTTTTATTCACAGTTTTTTAAATCCTCTTCTGAGGATGTATTTTTTAATTACTTTTAGAGAGAGAGGAAGAGGAGGGGAGGGAGGGAGGCAGACAGACAGACAGTGATGTGAGAGAGAACCATCCATTGTTGTATTTGCTGGTATGTGCAGATTTACCTCTCCCTTACCAGAATTGAACCCCTCAACCTTTTGGTGCACAGGATGGTGCTCCAACCAACCGGCCCCCTGGCCAGGTCTATTTGATCTAAGTTGCAAATAGCATAAACATATATATTTTACCATTATCAAGATGGATTTGTTGCTGTATGTGAAAGGTATTTTTATACTCAAGGTAATGAATATTTGTAAAGTTACTAATTAAACAGTACAGTAAGATTGTTTTAAATTTTTTGGTTAGTTGAATGGTAAAGGTTGCTTGAAATTTGGAATGAGTTGGTTAGATTTTAAGTTCATCTGTGCCATTTACTACTAGCTCTAGGATTATAGTTAACTTTCTTGCCCTACTTTGTAAACAAAATTATTGTTATCGCAAAAGACATACTTCCCAAAGATCTCTTTTTTAGTGTGAAAAATCTTAATAATTTAAAGTATTGTACATTTATGTTATATAGGTATTATTTTGTTTGTTTTTTTCCTTGCTAAAGATAATTAAAAACTTTGAAAATAATTAAATGGACAGGTTGACAAAATGATCATCCACGAGGAAAGTGTATTTTGCAGTCTGCGAAGATGGATGCATAGTGTGGAAAAAATGGTTTTCATCTGTGTTGTGTCTAGTTTCTTTTTACTATAAGCCTGCCTAGATTGAACCGAATCTAATAGTACTCATAAGAATCTTTACTCTTTTAGATAGAATGTGTAAAATTTTTTGTGTGAAATCTTTTCTCTGGAAAATCATAGTGCTACTGCCTAACCTGAGGTAGTCCGGTATATGCAGAATACCATAACATTAATTCCATGTTGTGTCATTGTTTCTAAGACTGTTAGGAAGTTTTTAGAGATTTAAATATGCCAGGGAAGGGTTGAAAGTGGTTATAAAATTTTTAAGTCTTGAGGATTGGGGCTGTTATAAAGGGATTTTGCCTATTTGTACACTGGTTCAGCATCTTTGGGTTAAACAGTTGTTTTCACATTTCACTCAGAATAAAAAATTAAAGTTTTTAAATTTAAATTTCATACAAATAAGGCTGACGGCCTGTCTACATTGCCATAGTCTTTGCAGACAAATCACAGTCAAAAGAATAAGTTTTGTTATTTTATGCCTTAATGATCCTTAGCAACAAAATTTTGTAAGTCTTGATTACATAAGATTATGTAAAGATCTGAGAAAAAATTGAATGAAAATGACAAAACCAATCAAATGTTTGTATGTCTAATTGTTTTTCTTTTTATCTTGCAGCAACACACCTCTTGCTTTTTCTTCCAAAGTATGTTATGTTAAGTTTCGTGACCCATCAAGTGTTGGCGTGGCCCAGCATCTAACTAACACGGTTTTTATTGACAGAGCTCTGATAGTTGTTCCTTGTGCAGAAGGTTGGTATTTCACATGTTTTTTTCTTATTATTTTATCTTTGTCCTTTTGTTAACTACATTTGGCTTTCTTAGAAATTGACAAGTAGATATCACTTTGGCATGTGTGTATATGAGTTTGTGTGTATGTATGTGAAATGAAGTTTGGAGAAGAGACTTTACTAGTAAAATATATTAAAGTGGTTCACTCGTTACTTAATATAAGTTTAGTAAATGGCTAAACATTTTTTAATTACTTGGCTTCTCTGGTTTACTTTGGCTTTCTGTATTTGATTGGTAAGTTGCAAAGAAAGCTTTCTGAAATTAAAGAAAAAGTAGGTTGGTTTGGGGAATTATTTTAAATGTGTAAGTTAGTAAGCACTTGCCTCTGTGTATACCAAGTTAGTATTAATAAATAAGTGTATACATCTTTGCCAAATTGGGATTAAGTAATATTTATGTTTATAAGAAAAACATTAATAATTGAAGCTTTAAAGTATTCTCTTAAGGTAATTTACCTTGTAACTGAGACCATTATTTCATATTCAGGGTAATTGCTATGCAACTGTAATTTACTTTTTCTCCTGTCTTTTTTGGGGGGGGGGTATTATAATTGAAGAAAAATCATGAAAAGCAAATTTCCTCCATTAAGAAAATAGTTGATGAAGATGTGAACAAGACTGTGGCCTTACAGTTATTTGTTATTTATGACTTAACCTGCTTTAAGAGCTAATTGTTACTAATATTTATTTTTTAGTAACTTCTATTTACAGAGCCACTCATATAATAAGCTGTGCTGAATTTGACAGTTCTGGTGTGTAATTAACTTATTCAGAGCATTGGCTATGGCATGTGTACATGGATTTTAGAATTGGGTTATTACAATTTAAATGTCTTTAAACTGTATTTTTATTGGTGGATAGTAGTAACTTTACAACATAAAAATTTTACCTGAAATGTAATGTACTCTTATATGTAATGTTTTAAAACCTCTGAAAAACCAGGCTAACATTAAAATAACATGTGTAATGTTATAGTTTCAAGTTTTTATGCTTATTTCAGAATGCTGTTCTGAGATGTTAAAAACATTAGTCACATACAAGTATCATTCTGTTATTTTTAGAGTCCCAAAACAGAACATTCTGGATTTTTTTCAGATGAATTCTAAAGTACTTTTCTCATCCATGTCTAGGAGTTAGAGTGAGGTAGAGAAAATAAAAATATATTAATTATTTGCTAAATCTATCTTTATCTACTGATACTAAAGAGGGCATTGAGCCCAGAATTGGAGAGTGAGGTGAAAAAAGAGTAAGAATTGGAGAGTAAGGTGGTAGTGGTTTAATTCTGCAAACCAAGTTCATACCAATTTCACACCAACTAAACTGCATGGGGAAAAAAATCAGGTGGAATGTTTATGAAACAGGAATATTAATTATTAATTATGTTAGTAAAATATGCCATCAACAACACAGGTTCTGTATTATGTTTGCTTTTTACTGAATTAGAAGAAGGAATTTTACCAGTTATTGCTTTGTTGGAACCTTACTGTAGTCCCATAGAATTTTTTAATGTAATATTTGAGAAGCCCTGGCTGTGATTTGTCATAAATATTCAAGGTTATGGGCAGGTAGAGGTTCCTTGTGTTTTTTTTTTTAACTTGATAGAGATGAAGCTGGCTTTTCACTTTTTTAAATATCATTTTGAGACAAAGTTTCACCTTTTTTGAACATGAAAACTTAAATATTTTTATTGCAGTTTACTTACAAGTATTTTAGAGCACTTACCTATAATTGGTATTAGGAAAACATTCGGACACAATTTTTCATTAAACTATATACAGTAGAGATGAATTTATAGAACCTAAAGAATGTCATAGTGAGCTCTTAAAGATCTGATTATGCACTACAAGCAAAGTAACAATGTATTATATTTTGTACCAAAAAAGATAACAAAGTGAGTTTGAAATAAATCGAAGGAGAGAATTCCATTGGAGTAAGTTCTGTGATGTGCTTTAGTGCTATAAGCAGGGTTCTGTTTACTTCACTGATTCCATTTCTCTTGCTGTTGTAGAAACAGCATTATGAAAGAAATGAGAAAACCATAGAACAAAATTTTAAGAAAAGTTTTTCAGTTTCTGTCAGTTTGCTGTTTTTAAAAAAAAATATATAGACAGTATTATGAGATGATCCTGAGCTGTATAAGTAACGTTTGGTGTGTAATAGTTTCATACATCTTCAGCATAAGCTATTGTTACTAAAACATGCCATTTCAGAATAAAATATACTTTTGTTATACTTGTCTAAATATGATCTCTTTTTGTTGTTGTGTGCATCTCAGATTTATTTTTATAAATGTTAACACTTAGAAAAAGATAAGGTCAGACATAACAAGGGTGTCAGCCTAATCATCAGTCATAATTTTATGTCCACATTTTCTGGTAGATGGATTTTGACTATTAATTTGGTTTTGTATGTTTTCTCTATGTGATATTTGTGCATTATTAGATGACTAGACTGGCCAAGGCAGACCTGTTACACTTGCCTGACACTTGCCTGAGTTAGGCATTGTTTGCCATGCCACTAAACCGGCCGTCAAGTGAAACCTTCATTGGGGAAATGAGATCGGAGTCTGAACCGCAGAAGATGGACGCCCTGTCTCTGTTTTTTATTGTTTTACTTTAATTTCATTTCTTTTTATTTTGTCCCTTTTTTGTTTTTGTTTTGTTAAATCTCTTTCACTTTAACCTGTGAGCTGGTTTTCCAGTTCTTTGTAAATGGTATTCCATTAAGGGTTCATAACATTGCATTGCAAAATATATGGAGAGATGATCAGCAGAGCTCAACCTTAAGATAAAATAAATTTTCACAGTAAATTAAGATGCAGTGTTAAGGAGGTAGGAATCTTAATTGGTGTTCATAGACTGGTTAGGTACATTTTGTTCTTGAAACACTGGTAAGGTTATGTAGAAACATTTTCTGATCTCAGTGCAACATTTTTGCAGTTTTTCTTCCAAGTCGACATCTTTTTAAAGAAAACCAACTGATAGTATCCTTTCTCCTAGAATTTTAGGAATGCAGAATCAGGGAAAATAAGTAAATTTCTTGCAACAATCTGTGGGGAGAGGACACAAAGAAACTTCTACTTTTATGATAGTTATTCATTATAGAAAATAAAATTTCCTTGATTTATCAAGACTTCAGTTGCCTACAAGGAAAATGGGTATTAGAGAAACTATTGAATACTAAGTTGTGTATGTTTCTCTGTGTCCTTGAACTTTTTGTTGAAAAATATTCAAAGGTTAGTAGGTTTTAAGAAGATTCTAAGATTAGGACTAGTACTTTAATACTAAGAAACATTGTTCTCAGTTGTCATTGAGTATAATTTAGGAAGAATGCTCATTTGTTTTATGTTAGTATTTACAGGGTAAATTTGATAGAATTCTATCTTGGAAGTTAAGTAATGGAATTTTTTTAAGTATTTTTAATAATAATTAGAATAAGAAAAACCAGTGTGCTTACAGTTAGACTTTATAATAGCTTTTTCATACTGTGAGGCAGTGAGAGTCAGATCATCTACTGATGCTTTTTTTTTTTAAGCCAAAAGTGAAAGTCTTTATAATATTAAGTATTCAACATTTGGCCTGTGTTGAATACCCTTTTTGTTTGGGCAGTCTTTCTACATTCTTGGTATGGATAATTTGGCTTATTTAACTGACAAATAATATTAAATTGGGACTTGACTAGATTGGAACTCTTGTTTTTTTAGATACATAAATTAGAGTAGCAAAGTATAGGGTTTTTACCGTAGGACCTCAGTTGCTTTATCAAGATGCATTCAGGTTTTACAAACATTTGAAAAATAATTTCTATTTAAAACAGGTCTGATAACAATATATGTAGATAGTATATTTGTGGGTATACAGATACATGTGTTAATACTAGTAACTAATACAAAATTATTGTTATTTGATGTTTTCAGTTAGGCCTCCTACCCTTCATTTACCTTTATGCATGTTTTTAAAAATCTGTGCTTATGCAGAATTTACACTGAAATAATAAAGTAACTTTGTGAAATTAGTCGATTAAAGTAATATAGACTTAGATGTTACAAAGCTTAGGAGAAAGTAGACATTTGTTAAAGCTAATAAAATGTCAATTTTTTGTTTCTATAAGCAAGGTGTACCCATTATTTGAAGCAAGTTTTAAAGTCCATCTTGAATTCCATTCATGTTTAGAGCTATGTTTAGATAATATTGTTTAGAGGTTTATTTCTGCATATCTGGTTGTTTCATATAGTGTCTTTACCACTAAAACCCAGCATGGTGCTTTTGAAAATTTATTCCATATGCTATTTTCAATTTAGCATGACTTTGTACACTGTTTTAAATTATTTTTGAAGAATTCATGATAGAAATGCATAGCTAACTAATTATGAGTAGTTCTTCTAAAACAGCTATATATAGTCAACTTTTTTAGAAACAGTTTTTTTGGGGGGTGGGGTGGAAAGAGGTTCAGGGAAAAATGAGATTTGCGGTCCTTATCAAAATTGATTAGAATTCAGTAATTATGGAAAATTGATGTACTTATTTCAGTAACATTTTCAGCTTTTAGTCATAGGAATTTTTTTTAGCATCTACAAATTATGTCAGTGTTATTGTCATTATTGTTATTAGTCAGTTGAGATGTTTATAAGCAATACACTTAGGCATCAGCTACTCTTCTTCAGATAAGTATGCATAAATTGGTTCTAAAAGTCAATGGTTTAAAAGTTTCCTATGACTAAGGAACTTTTTTATTAGGTATTCTAAAACAGTTTAGCAGTTTTCCCAGAGATATTCTTGGCACCTGAATTCTTTTGGGCATTTCTGACATCGTTGATGAGGCGCCTTATTAACTGAGTGACTACAAGCTTCCTTTTAAATTGAAGCTGATTACATGCAGTAGGTTTTGGGTTTTTTTTTCTGTCTACATGAAATTGAATGGAATTTGTTGGAAGGGTTATCAAAATTGTTTTCATCACAAGTAGGTAGTTTCAATAACAGCATAGGGGCACTCAGTAAGGAACAAATTTCAATTTGCTTTTTCTTTTTCTTTTTTTTAACTAATTTGGTTATTTGCCATTTCTGGGGATTAAACTTTAAAAAATGTTCTTCTTTTCTGTATCTGATGTTCTGTGTGCTATTAGTGATGCAGCCAACACGAACGGTTGTCATGTGTAACACAACTTTCGATCACCGCGAAAACACCGTCCTGGGAAAGCGTCCATGCTTGATATCGTTTGGTTCATGAACATTAAGTTTCCAGTACAGGTGACCCATAGCTCAAAGTGTTAAATAATTGTCTACATTATTCAATTTTTAAAATAATATTCCATTAATGAGATTGTTAGTCTTTGAAGTTTTGCTCACTTTTATTTTTCCTAGTAGAGCAGGATAAAAGGAAAGACTTAAGTTCTAATTTATTTCTTTATATGAATCTGATAGATTCATTTATTACTATTATTATTTTTTAAGTGCAAGGGTAATTGTAAAATCATAGTATAAATTTTGTGTGGTGTTTCTGCTTTTTGTAATGTTTGAAACTTGCCTCTGCAGGTAAAATTCCAGAGGAATCCAAAGCCCTCTCTTTATTGACTCCTGCTCCAACCATGACGAGTCTGATGCCTGGTGCAGGCTTGCTTCCCATACCGACCCCAAATCCCTTGACTACAGTAAGTATTAGATGCCCTCTTCTAAAAGGGAGGAAAGTTCAACCATCTAATCAGTTGAATAAAGAGCTCAGAGAATTTTTATTTTGGTTCTGGCCAGCGTGGCTCTGTTAATTGGAGGGTTGTTCTGTAGGCCAAAGGGTCCCAGGTTCGATTCTTGGTCAAGGTACATATTTAGGTTGTGGGTTGGATCCCCATTTGGCATGCATACGATAATGCAACCAGTTGATGTTTCTCCCTCACATTGATGTTTCTCTCCTGTTCTCTCTCTCTCTCCCTTTCCCTCTCCAAAAGCAATGAAAGAAAGTCCTCAGGTGACCATAATAACAACAACAAAAAACCTTTTTAATTTTTAATCTTTTTTTTTAAATGGAAAGGACCCTAAATGTATATTTAAATTTTTTCCCTCATGTTGTCACTGACTTAAATTACCTTTTGGAACTTGGAAGTAATCGAAAATGTATTTAAATTTGCTTATTCTAGAAAATCAGTTATTGAAACTCAGCATTTTAGATAGCACAGTCAGTTAGAGAATCTAGGTGACTATTTCCAGTTCGTGAGGGCTACGTTTATTTTAAAAATATGAACTGATTCACAGCCTGATAATGGGAAAAAATATCTAAGAGAAGGATTTATCAGGGAAAATGTAACAAGGTAAGAAACATGGCAAAATATTTTTTCATTAACTCTGGGGAATTAAATAGTAATTTAATGCCTCCTTTGTGATTTCCTGGGGGGGGTTAAAAAAGATACTGCTGTTAACTCTGCTCTTAGTTTTTATGTAAAAGATTCTGATCACATTTATTTTAAAAGAAGGGTCATTTTTCTTCCAAAATAAACCCAAGACAAAATATAAATCTTACTGTAATTGAAAGTTTTATCTAGGGAGGAAATGGGAGGGAGGTGGGGAGCAAGGGGCAGGGGAGGCTGGGATGGGAAAAATAGACAAAAAACTGTACTTGAAAAATAACTAAATAAAATTAAAAAAAAAAAAAGAAAGTTTTATCTAGCTTTGTAGTACTGGACTATTAGGGAGTGAATTCATAAACTTTATAATTGTAGTTAAATTATCCAAATTAAAAAAATGGTTTCTGAAACTTTGAGGTGCAAGATTTTAGGTTTTCTTAGTTCTACATGGTGTTGTTTTGTTCTGCAGGGGACCTGCGTTGTTATTTATAGGGGGAAATGCTTTTTAATTCAACAGTTGATCATTTGTATTGAGCTTTGTAGAAATTTTATTTTGGATATAGTTTGGTAAATTTTAATATCTTAATCCCTAGATCACTACCCTCCTCTCCCCCCATATTTTCTTGCTATCTCGAAAATCCTTAGTGATTTCACTGTTTAAATTAGCTCCCAAGTGTAGTGCTGAAGTGCTGCCTACTGTTTCTAAGGGTTGGAAGGCTGTAATGTGCCTTACAGAGAAAATATGTGTTAGGGTTCCTTCAGGAATGAGTTGATAGTGCTTTTGGCAATAAGTTCAGTGTTAATGAATCAACAATATATATATTAAATAAGGTGTCTTTAAACAAATGCACATGAAGCAAAATTATGTATTGGTTAATGAAGATATTGTGACCAGAGGCTTGTAGGAACCTAGCCCTGTATTTTCCCTGGGAGCAGTGATTCAGTATTCAGTAATACAGTGTTGTGGCAACTTTATAGGACATAACTATTGCAAGTAATGTGGATCGACTGTCTGTTTTCAGTGTTAAGTTTAAGAGGATGTAAAACATCCAGGTAGTTAAGAAATATGTTGCGTTTCTAACATTCAAAACTACTGTGACCGCACAATAATTTAGACATACATCTGGCTTAAAGCTAGGAGTTCCTAGTTTCTTCCCATTCTTGTTGAGTTGACCACATCTGTTCAAGATTAGAGAATGATTAACTTGTATAAATATTATTTGTTTATTTTTAGAGAGAGGGGAAGGGTGAGAGAAATAGAAGGAGAGAAACATCAGTCAGTTGCCTCTTGTACATGCTTGACTAGGCATCAAACATGCATCCCTGGCATGTGCCCTGACCGGGAATCAAACCAGTGACCTTTGGCTCTGCAGGATGACACCCAACCAACTGAGCCATACCAACCGGGGTGAGAATGATAATTTTCGATACTAACAAAAAATATGTTCTTTTTCTTTTTTAAATAGCTGGGTGTTTCCCTTAGCAGTTTGGGAGCCATACCAGCTGCAGCATTAGACCCCAATATTGCAACACTTGGAGAGATACCACAGCCACCACTTATGGGAAATGTGGATCCTTCCAAAATTGATGAAATCAGGAGGACAGTCTATGTTGGCAATTTGAATTCCCAGGTAATGAAGAAACTGATTCTTTTCCCCTTATTAAAAATCATACAGATTGATAAAGTAGTATTTACCTGATTTTTCAAAAAAAAGAATATATTAAAGTGTTACTTTGTTTCTTTAGACGACGACAGCTGATCAGCTACTTGAATTTTTTAAACAAGTTGGGGAAGTGAAGTTTGTACGGATGGCAGGTGATGAGACTCAGCCAACTCGGTTTGCTTTTGTGGAATTTGCAGACCAAAATTCTGTACCAAGGGCCCTTGCTTTTAATGGAGTTATGTTTGGAGACAGGCCTCTGAAGTAAGAAACCCTAAACAAAGAAATTTTAATGATTTTGAAAAACTTTATTTTTGATGTAATTAAGGCTTTTTTTAAAAATAGTTATTGGCAATTTGTGGAAAGGAAGACTTTGTGTTAAGTAAAATGAATGCCTGACATGCCTTTCATTTTAATGTTTGGTTGCATTTGAAGACATCTATTTTCTAAGATCCAGTTTAATATTATTTACATACCCCACATAATGACTAGGGTTTTTTTTTTCCATAAGCATTAACAAGTCAGGATGGTTCTGTGTTATGACTAGACTGATAGACAATTTAACACATGGGTTGAACTTTAATAATACAGTAATAAGAATTTTGGTAAATCCAAAATCCCAGGAAGAAAATAATGTTCAATATCCAGAAATGATTTAAATCATGCATTTTGAGTTTTACAGTTGGCTCACATATTTGTTTTCAACATGAAAAATTGATGTAGCCTGTCAGATACTCAATACCAGAAATTCTATTTCATGCAGATTATTGAGGTAACAGTTTTATCTGAATTGCATAGGCAGTTGCCTTAGTTATACAATTGGATGCTACTATTAAAGGATAAATATTTGTAACTGTTCTTAGTGAATGCTCATCTTCTCACTGTGGAAGGGTAAGTGAGGCAGACCAAATTCATCTCTGTGCATCAGAGAAACCACTCTTACCCAGTAGGGAAAGAGTTTTATTTAATGTCTCCCACATTCAAACTGTGTTGTTACTCAGCTGTGGTCCAGCTTCCCCTTTGTCTTCCCAGGGTACAGAGGTTATCAGTCAATAAAATCTTATAATCTAAGAATAGAAATAATTCGCTTTAATATTGGTGTCAAGATTTTAATTTATTGTAATTCTAAGCTGTTCAGGAAAGTAGTTGTCCTGGACTATTCAAGTTAATAAGTTAGCTAGCATTCAGGTTTTTTACTTTGTTAGCAAGAGATGATGGCAGGTGATAAATCATGGAGTGAGATACATCATGGTTTTGAGATTGGTATTGGTTATTCTGTATTTAGCTATATTACTCTTAATATGCTTTCAAGATGCCGGTTTAGAAATATTTGTATTACGTAAACATTTATTTCTTGTTTTGTAAAAGGTGGTGTGTATTTGTGATATGCTAATGTTTTTAATTTAGAATAAATCACTCCAACAATGCAATAGTAAAACCCCCTGAGATGACACCTCAGGCTGCAGCTAAGGAGTTAGAAGAAGTAATGAAGCGAGTACGAGAGGCTCAATCATTTATCTCAGCTGCTATTGAACCAGGTAAGGCCATAGTGTTGTTACATAGGCCATAGTTTATCATAGAATCTTAGAACTGCAAGGAACTTTAGGAATTATCTTGTTCAGTCCCTTCATTTTATAAACAAGAAGACTGAAACTCAAGAAAGAGTAAGTGACTTATCAATGCCAAAGGTCAAAGAAGTACTTAGCACAAACGTTCGTTTCCCCTGATACTGAATTGAGGCACATTGGCCCGAGTCAGTCAGTTTTTTATACTTTAAGAGCAAAATTAGTGCTTAAAACTGATTTGCTTAAAAACAAAGTGTAAATGTTACTGTGAGGCTAAAAACAAGAATAAATATATTTAAAATGTGATGATTAAGCAGACTCACTTTTTATCAAAGTTTTATTTTAAAAATAAAAAAGAGAGTCCATGATCCAGGAAAAACATAGACATATTTTAGCAAGGCAAAAGGACACCTAACCTCTTCAGACTTTCCTGTTCCTAACAAAAAATTTAAAATCAAGTCTAAAAATGTCTAGATGGTTTACATTTGAGCAAATTTTCTAAATTAGCACTCAGAATTTAAGTTTCAATTCTAGAAAAATAAATGGAGAAAGGATTTAAAATCACTGTTACAGGAATTACAGACATGTTATAATCGTACATTATGGCAGCAACAAAATATTACGAACAGCTGTTTATAATCATCTGGTTTATATGTACTGCTGCAGGGTGCTGCACTCAACGAGTTTATGCAATGACTTTCTTGGATGTTTCTGAAGGATAATTGCACAGGAGGAGGATGTACAGAGAGTAGGCCCCTTGCACTATATGTGGTACATTCCCCTTGTGCCTAATTATTAACTGGGATCTTTAATTGTTCTGAGCTTACACTGCAAAGTGATTTTTTCCTCTCAGAGTCTGGAAAGAGCAATGAAAGAAAAGGCGGTCGATCTCGTTCCCATACTCGTTCAAAATCCAGGTCTAGCTCAAAATCCCATTCTAGAAGGAAAAGATCACAATCAAAACACAGGTGAGAATTTCTGCCGTCATTTTAAGTCTTTCTGGTTTTGTATTTAAAATAGTTAAGAGGTTTCATTTAAATAACAGAATTTAGAAATTCTGTAGAGTTCACCAAGAAATATGGTTACCATTAAGTATTGGTTTCATTATAATACTACAGTTAAGAATGAAATTTTATCTAATTTGTAATTTTTATTTCAATTGAATTTTCATTTTACAAGTTGGTTTTCTATCTTAATAAGATTCTATGTTTCTGATTTTTCTAAGAGTAAACTAGTCTTTATACAGAACTGGCAGAAACTTTTTATATTGAGAAAAGGGAAACACCATGGGTAGGGTGATACTGAAAATATCACTGGGGTTGCAGAACCTTGCATCCCCGGCCTGTCCTCATAAGGGCTGGGAAGTATTACCCCAGATCTTGTTTTCAAGTTGTTACCTATCTCCAGTACTTGGGGACTTGAAACATAGGAGTAGCTTGTGGCTTAGTTCCAGCTCTTCTATGTGCTTAGCTCTAGCTCTGTTTCTGTTCTGTTTATCTTATCTTTGAGCCTAGCTGTGTTTTAATTTTTCTTTTAAATGTGTTGTGTGTTTAGCACAAAGGGAACCTCAAAATGTAAGCTTGCAATGTCATTTTGATTGTGAGCCTAAAGTGCTAAGTTTTATTGTCTTCTCAAAGATGTGGAGGGGCTGTTACTGAAGTGTGAAAATATATATAGTGAATCCTAACTGCATGTTGTGTGTGTATATGTACTTCTGTCTAAAGAGGAGAGGTAGAGAAAAGTAAATGTGCATGTGGTGTGGATGTATTAGAGGAGGGGAGGGAACCAGCATGCTGCTGTATGTTGAACCTCACCAGCAAGCTCAGTTCAGTCTGTTTTTCTCTATTGTTGAAGGAGATTGAAACAATGTGATATGAAAATATGATATTCATTCTTTTACTCTGATAGACTGTACTTTTTACTGTGTACTGGTGTGTGTGCTTCCTGTTATTACTAGTTTGCAAAATCTCTTCTGGGATGTGGTTTTACTATCTATTCCTCCATCCAAGGCCTTATAGTAGGGCAAGTTCAAATCCAACTTAAAGATGTTTCACGTACAAGGAATGACGCAGTGCAGTGGAAGCCAGAATTGGAGAAGGAAAGGGGTATAGAAACAGTGGTACTAGCTTGTGGATGTTACCAGAAGTTGGCAGGATATGGTGAACATAATGATGAGGAAATACAGAATTGAACTGAAGGGTAACAACTTCTTTTCTGAGGAAAAAAAAGACCAATGACTTGAATCTCATTATGTATTAATAACAAGAGCCAGAATCTAATACCTCCAAATCTAATACCTTAATGGTTTTCTAAGGCTAGAATAAAGCAAAACTTAATGATTAACATCATTGTTTCCTTAATAATCTCTGGGAAGCTATACTGTATATGTTGGGGCAAAAAAAAAATATATCCGCTTTAAGGTTTTTACTTATCATTTTAAGTACCTTTGTATATTTTCCTCTTCAAAGGGGTGGTGAGGGGAGGATTATTCAGTCTGAAATGAAATTTGTTAATTATGGTTCTCACTTACGGTAGCTTTCATGTAGGTCCATCTAACTATGTAGCATGCTAAATTGCTTATTCTCAGCAAGCATATAATTGACCCTTGAACAACATGGGTTTGAACTTCGTGGGTCCACTTATATGTCAATTCTTTTCAATAGATATATGAGCACAGTCAGCTCTCCATATCTGTGGGTTTAGGATTTGTGGATTCAACCAACCACAGATTGAAGACAGTATTTTTGGTTCATAGTTGGTAATCCACAAATGCAAAAGGTTGACTGTATGTAATTTTCTGTGCTATTTTGTATAAGGGACTTGAGCATTTGCAGATTTTGGTATCTGTGGCAGGGAGAGGGGGCAGTTTTGGAAACAGTCCTTTGTGGATAGCAGGGATGACTAAAGTTTTGGGGGAGTCAGAACATTTTCAACTGTGTAGGCATCAGCACTCCAACACCACATGTTCAAGGGTCTACTGTATGTATACACACATACACATATATAAACCTATCTACTTATACATACAGGTTTACATATACTTTTTAAAGCATATACTATTTTATACATGGTTTATGGAAACACATAGATGTTATTAAGTTCTTAAAAGAAATATGTAAGAGGGGGAGTTCTGTTTAAAAGAAAAGAAGACCCTTACCCAAAAAACATTTGACTTAAGGACTTGACATGGAAGTAACTTCCCCAGTGTAGTAGGGGAAGAGGATGGCAGGCATTGATTAGCTTCCCCTCCCTTGCTGGTGTGACTGGAGACCCTCAGCTCTGGCTCTGACTTAGACTTACCAGGAGTGTGAGTTGTAGGAGCTCTTGTTCTTGAATGCCCATCCTCTTGTCAGTTTTCACTGTTCTTAGGTACTTTTAAAGTCTCCCCCTCACTCTTTGCCTTCTTCCCTTCCTTTTTTGTTTGTTTGTTTGCTTGTCTTTAGGAATTTATTTATTTTTAGAGGGAAAAGGAGGGGTGAGGGAGAGAAATATTGTGTGAGAGAAACATCAGATTGGTTGCCTTTTGAAAGCCCTTAACTTGGGGGTCTGCTCTGCAGCCCAGACACATGCACCTACCAGGAACCAAACTTGGGACTTTTGGTTCGTAGGCCAGCGCTCAGTCCACCAAGCTATACCAGCTGGGGCTATTCCTTCCTTTTCTTATGTTAGGAGGGAGGAAAGGGTTTCTTGTCACTGTGACCTTGGCTAGGGCTGGGTTGAAGTGTTTCTACTTTTTGTTTCCAAATTTGTATGTTTTTTTCATAGGGACAGTGTTAGGAAAGGTGGGCAGTACTATAATTACTATTTTAAAGTTAAGTAATCTTTACAGACCAGCATAGGAGCTATAAAATATTTTATAATACTTTATGGGAAACAACTGACTTACAAATGGTCTTTGATGCAACATGATGGTAAGTTGCCCTTTATTCACAGTTAAATGTATAAATGCAGTTGTGCACAATACTCTAAAATGAGGACTGCTAACAAATTTTTATCTTTGGTTGGATTACATTTGCTCTTGATATTAGTTTTTTGACTAGAGGTGAGATAGACAAAAGTATTTAATGTCACAATTTATAGTTTTCTCTTGGGCAGTAACTTTGAGGACCTATAGGGTAAGATAGGAAACCAAGTGATCAGTTTTTCTTTTTTTTTTTTTTTTTTTTACTTCTATCTATTAGGGCTATGCTTGCATTTTTAGAAGGAGTTTCTTCTTTTAATTATGGTTGGAAAGCACTGTTTAAGAAAAACAAGTTACTATTTATATTTTTAGAAAGGTTAACTAGAACAGAAATCTTAAGAATTTTTATTAACTATAGAGAAATAAGGGCCCTGTGGATTTCTGAAAATGGACTGAAATGTTTTAAGTTTTGCATTTTTGCCTTAATACCTATTACTTGATTTTTGTATCTCTTAGGTTATTAGTGATAAAAAATTCAGCAAATTATGAATTATATTAAAATTTGGTATGAAGATACATGTATATATTTTAAAGCAATAGATGAATAGTTTGATTGCAAATTAGCTCTTAGAACACAAATTTTAACTGGAAAAATGTATTAAACAAAATTTCATCATTAATCGAGGGTTGTCTGGAGGGTTTTCTGGTTTCATAGTATACCACAAGCATTTCACTGTGTGTATCTCTTTCATAGATATTTGTTTTAATTCATGAAACCGTGACTGTCAAGATGAGTTCTAATTATATAAAGCATACTTGTGGAAGCTCATTTGACCTCCTTGGAATAAATTAAAGATAGAATTTAAAGTTTTCATTTATGTTGTTGATGATGATAATACTGAGTGTTAAGAATTTTAAACATTTACTCTGTGCCAGAGCCTTCATGGAATTTTCCATATATCATTTGATTTAATCCTCATGAAAGCCCCAGAAGATGTAGATATAATTCTTGTCCCACTTTACAAATGAAGAAACTCAGGCTTAGAGAGATTGACTAACCAGACTTCTCATAGCTAGTGTGTAGCAGAGCTGAGTGTTAGAGCCAGATTGTCTTGACTCTAAAGCTGGTGAGTCTCATCACTTTGTGGTTAAGGTTGTGTGCATTCAGTTTTGTTATATTTTAATACATGCTTTCTAGAATATTTCATTATTAAAAAAATCACATTATGTAAACAGTTATTTCAGTGGGGTAAAGGAACCTAACAAATTTCACAGTTGGAGTATGAGTTATTTTTCCTTCAGGAATTTTCCTAACAAAGGTTTCTTTTAATAGTTGTGTTTGTATAGTTATAAAATTAGGGTCTTACAAATTCAACATTTGATTATATCTGTTTTTAATTCAGAAGTAATGATGTTTATTGTAAATGACTTAAATTCTTCCTCTGTTTCTATGTGTGTTCTGAACAGTGATCTGGTAAAATTTCCACTAAATTTATTTTAGATAATCTAACTGAAGGATTACATAGAAGAGAATTTTAAAATAATGATACATACAGACTTTCAGGATTGGTTTTAAAATTCTCTAATTTGCAAGACATTTTAAATCTTAAAAAATTGAAGTTCTAAGGAAAAGGTTTAACATTATAACAATTTTTTTTTAGGAGTAGATCCCATAATAGATCACGTTCAAGACAAAAAGATAGACGTAGATCTAAGAGTCCACATAAAAAGCGCTCTAGGTCCAGGGAGAGACGGAAGTCAAGGAGTCGTTCGCATTCACGGTGAGTTTTTGGAAAATTATGGATAATTATTTTGTGGCTTCATTTCTTAAAAATCTGTTGTGGTTTAGGTTTTTAATAAGAGAAATGAAACTTTTCTGATAGATTTTTATAATGATTAATGATCAATTTGGTTATTTTTGTAATGATTAATTTGATTAATTTAGTAATGATTGATGACTAACCAATGATTTATATTGGTTTCCATTTATTGGACTCTGATGGTCATTATGACTCATGAGGTTTCCTAACTATTGTACTTAATTCCACCTGGTTATTGTTTTATTTAGCAGCTTACGTTATAACAGGTACATAGGGATTTATATGTGATGTCTTACAACTATTATAAATTGTTTTGTGTTGATAATTATTGAAGAAGGGGAGGTTCTTTGGGGGAGTAGAATTACTTCAGTTGTGACTTTACTTATTTATTTTTGTTTTTGAAGGGACAAGAGAAAAGACACCCGAGAAAAGATCAAGGAAAAGGAAAGAGTGAAAGAAAAAGATAGAGAAAAGGAAAGGGAAAAAGAGAGAGACAGGGAAAAGGAACGTGAAAAAGAAAAGGAACGGGGGAAAAACAAAGATAAAGATCGGGATAAAGAACGGGAAAAAGACCGGGATAAGGATAAAGACAAGGACAAGGACAGAGAGAGAGAGCGGGAAAAAGATCATGAAAAGGAGCGAGACAAAGAGAAGGAAAAAGAACAGGATAAAGAAAAGGAACGAGAAAAAGACAGATCCAAAGAGATAGATGAGAAAAGAAAGAAGGATAAAAAATCCAGAACACCTCCCAGAAGTTACAATGCCTCAAGAAGATCTCGTAGTTCCAGCAGGTTTGCTATGCTTAAAGTTTTTACCAAGGGGTTTACTGATGACAAATGTAAACATGAATTAACTGAGGGGAAAACATTATTCTGTACATGTTGAATCAGTACTGTAATATCAGAATATTTTCCTCTGCAAAGAAAACATTTCTCTAACAGAGGCTTGTTACAGTATTGAACCTATGAGGAGGAAGGATGGATGGTATCTGACAAAATTATTTGGAATGTTTTACTTATCTTTTGTAATCTGTTATTTTAACCTGGTGGTGGCAGCAGCAGCAGCAGATGGTACTGTTGCTGCTGCTAATATTTCTTGGAGGGTGGGTGGCAGGGGCAAGTTATTTTTTTTTGACTGGGGCGATATTGGTTAATAAAATTATATAGGTTTTGAGTGTACAATTCTATAACATATTTTCTGTATATCGCATTGTATTTTTACCACCCAAAGTCACATCACCATATATTTATTTGACCCCATTACCTTTATATACCCTTCAGCCCCTTTTCACTCTGGTATCCACCATACTGTTTGTTGTCTGTGTCTATGAGTTTTTGTTTGTCTTGCTCATTTGTTGCTTTCCGTTTTATATCCCACATATGAGAAACTTATATGGTTCTTGACTTTTTCTGACTTAATTTCACTTAGCATGATATTCTGAAGATCCATCCATGTTGTCGCAGATGGCAGTATTTCATCTTTTCTTACAGCCAAGTAGTAGTCCATTGTATATTTGTACCGCATCTTCTTTGTCCAGTCATGTATCAAAGGACAGTTCAACATCAGCTCACACCTGTTAGGATAGCTTTTATGAAAAAGACAAGTAAGTCATAACTAGTGTTGGAGAAGTTGTGGAGAATAAGGATCCCTTATTCACTGCTGGTGGAAATGTAAACTAGTGCAGCCACTGTAGAAAACAGTACGGAGGTTCCTCAAAAAATTAAGAGAGTTACCATATAACCCAGCAATCTGTCTTCTGAGTATCTATCCCCAAAATTTAAAAACATTTATTTACAAAGATATATGTACCCCTGTGTTCATTGCAGAATTATTCATAGTACCCAAGACATGGAAACAGCTCAAGGTTGGGTTTTTGGGTTTTTTTTTTTGGTTTTGTTTTTTAAATACAGAAAAATTGACCTCTTAGGATTCTGCAATTCTTTGGAACAGTGTAGTAAGATTTATTATGCAAAATGATTTGTAAAGCTACAGTATTAGTCATTTTGTCATCTAAGTTAATTTTTACAGGGCTACTTTGTTGAGTGTTTATTGTGTCAACTTTAAGGTTTTACTCTTTTCTTAGGACTGTTCCCTTAATTTATTAATAGGTGTGCTGCTACCAGGTAGAGTAGGTTGCCATAATAACAGCAGCAAAATGAGGACCTTCATTAATTCAAGATTATCTAGCCTATATCCATTGTTCCAGATGATACTATGACTATAAATAAATAGCACTTCCTAATTTGTATTAAACTACATATTAAAAATATTGATATATATGTATTTGCAAGTTTGCAAGCTCTTTTAAGTATAATTTTTTTATAGAAAATTATTTCTGAGACAGGAATATCTTGTGTTTTAGCAGCTTGTTCTTGGTGTTAGTCTTTGGTTAGATAATATAAGATAATCACAAGCATTTATTGAATGCTTTTAAAGATTTTATTTTATTTTTAGACAGGAAAAAAAAAGGGAGAAAGGGAGAGAAACAGCAATATGTGGTTGCCTCTGGTTCACAACTCAGGCATGTGCCCTGAGTGGAAATCAAACCAGTGACCCTTTGGTTCACAGATGGGCACTCAATCCACTCAGCCACACCAACCAGGGCTGAGTGCTTTTACCATTTGCCAGATTTTATATTTCAGCAGTTTTTCACGACTAACCTTATTTAATCTTAAGTAATAATAATTAAGTAATATTAATAATCTGTGTGAAGACTATTATTATCATGGTTTTAAAACATGAGGAAGCACAGAGGAAATTTTCCATCATCTCTGTACTTGGGTATCACAAGTATAGTAGCTCCTTCTTTTTTTAGAGATTAAGTTTACTTGAGAATTCTCTAATCAGTACTAGCTACCCGTTTTAAAAAACTGCCTCATAAACATAAAGTTGAAAGGAACAGTATATGTTTGAATGGGGCTTAAAATAAACATATTTTAGGACATTGAATCAAAATCTGAAGAATTAATTAACCTCATTTATTGTGGGTATCAGTTGAGCCTGCGACTGGACATTTATGGCACAATGATTTTATTGATTTTATGTTAAACATTTGTGTTTATGTGATTGTTTAGATATCACTGTTCACAACACCAAAGAGTTTTGATTCCTTTTAATTTAGTTTTACCAAATTAACAGAATTTACTTTTTCTGAAGACCGTGAAATGTTTAATTTTTTTCATGGCCCATTTTTTAAGTTGCTTGGTATTTAAGAAAGTTCAGATGTTCACATTTAGTCCTAAGTGTATTCCTAAATAACCCTGGGCCTGGAGAATAAATGGTGACTAATACTGGTTCCCAAAGGTTTGGCAGTTTGGGGTGTTTCATGCTTTCCGAAGAGTTTGGTGAGCGGTAAAATTTAAGTTTTATAATTTTTCTGCTTTTTAAGTGTTTTCCATTTATTAAATAAATGGTAAACATTTCAATCGCTCATAAAAATTGTCTACTTAATATTTTTATTTCCAACATTGTCACCTAACCTACTTCTTTAAAGAAAATTTTTATATATTAAAAAAGTTCTAATGCTTAAAAGTTATTGTCAACAAAGGTGAAACCAAGAAAGGGAAGGAGAAAATATATATTGAGCACCAGAAATGTACCAGACACTGTGCTTGGTACTTTTTTCGTACTATCTGAAATTCTCATAATGACACTGCAGAGCTTGGTACCTCCATTTTACAGTTGGAAAAACAGATTTAGAGTAAAAGCAGTCTGACTACAGTTGTTCAGCTGGTAAGGTGTGGAAGCAAATTTTAAGTCTAATTCTAATTAATTACAGTTCTTCATACTACGGCTGCTCACTTCTTTCTCAACTAATTGATATTCTAGATTGCTATCTGTTCAGTCTTGTCTCTTATCATCAGCTGGTTGTTACTAGATGACCCTGTATGTCATGCTTCCTAAACACGCAGGTAAAGAGCCAGAGTGATCAAGGTGGGGCCCTTTTGTGTAAACTTCATGTCTGGGATGCACTGATGTTCTCATGCTGTGACAAAAGTATTTCAGGTTCTGCTGCTGAGCTGGTACAGGGGAGCATTGAATGGAATATTGTTGTCTAGTTTCTTCATCGGTCAGAAGTATAATTTTGGGGCATCCTGGAAATAAAGTTGGGTAATGGAGGAGAGAACTTTAGGTAGAATAAACTATGTATGTCCTCATACCTCATCCCCTGAATTATGGACATCTTGGAATTTATTGTTTCTAAGTCGGCTACCTTAGAAATTATTTAGTAATAATTTTTTTACTTTGTCATTTAAATCCTGGTTTTAAGTATTTTACTTATAATAATCTAAGCAACTGTGCACTCAACTTTAACAGAACAACAGTGATGAAATGATAGGAGATGGGAAGGTAAAACATAAGATGAGTTAATGTAAATACTTCTTCAGAGATATTCTAAATACTTAGGTCTGAGAAGTTCACATTTTGCAAGCCAACTTATCTTTAAGTTCTTGAACGTCATGTTTCCTTGTTACAAAATAATCCACAGTGGGGCAGCAAGGAGCTAACCAGATGCATGACAGAGAGTCTGATAAACAAAACAGTTTTGGATGCCAAGGAAGAACATACTTAAGGGAATCCAAAACATCCATTTACATTTTTTTGTACTCAACGTATCTTTGTTCAAATAAATCAGGTGAATTGGCGCTCCTCTACCCTTTCTAATATGAAATCTTAGGATATCTTTTTATCAGTCTTTAAGATTTATGGTTCATAATTTGACCTGCACTAAAATTAAATAAAAGAAATGTACTTATAAAGGATGTGCATTTAAACTGGTCTCCAGAGAATACTGTTCACTTGAGAGCATTAAAGACTTATCTTTCTGTATTTGAATTGGTGTTTATTTAAGTTGCTTTAAAAAACAACAACAATGGCATTATCTTTGACTTTCAGGGAAAGACGTAGGAGGAGGAGCAGGAGTTCTTCCAGATCCCCAAGAACATCAAAAACGATGAAAAGGAAGTCCTCCAGGTCTCCATCTCCTAGGAGGTAGGTTGGAAGCATATGCTAGAACTGAGGGGGAAGCAGGGAGTTGGGAGGGTAATTTTTCTTCAGTCTTTGTAGTTATAAATGAATAATCTAATACATTTGCATGGTTCAGAGATCAAAAATATAAGAAGTTATGCACTGACACCCGCGTGCCCATCTACTCTGTCCTCATAAGTGATGACTTTTAAGTTTTTTGTATATCTTTCCAGTTTCATTCACACACACACACACGGTAAGAATATGTAGTTTTTATTACAAAATAGACACACTATTATACACTTGCTTTTGTCACTTAACTATCAGCTCTTTCCATATTTGTCAGGTGTGCTGCTTCATTCGTTTTCACAACTGCATGCACTTTTCTTTTTTTAAGATTTTTTATTTATTTATCTTTAGAGGGGAAGGGGAGGTGAGAGGGAGAGAAATATCAATGTATGGTTGCCTTTTGTGCATCCCCTGCTGGGGCCTGGCCTGCAACCCAGGCATGTGCCCTGACTGGGAATTGAACCACGATCCCCTGGTTCGCAGGCCCGTGCTCAATCCACTGAGCTACACCAGCCAGGGCTGCACGCACTTTTCATTGTATGATAGTACCTTAGTGTAACCAGCCTGCAGTAGAATGGTTTTTCTTAATTTTTCTGTTATAAAATGTACAATACTGTAATGAAGAACTTTGGACTTACCTCATTTTGTAGTATGCAAATATGTAGGAAAATTCTCTAGAAATATTAATGTCGAGTCAGAAGATTGTGTTCATAGTGTTGAGAACTAGTTCTGTAGTGCCCTCCCGTAAGGATTGGCAGTCCCTTGTACTTTAACCAACTATGTATTAGAGTGCAGATTTCCCGACAGCTATAACAGGTTGTGGAATCAAAAGTTGTGGGTTTTTGCACACCTGATAGATAAGAAATGGTACCAACATACAGTAAATTTAAATTTAGTTGCATTTCTCTTAAAAGTGAAGGTAAGCATTTCTATGTGTATATGAAGGCCATTTGTATTTCCTTTTCTGTGTATTGTCTGTGTACTTTGACAGTTTTCCTATAGTCTGTTTTCTGTTATTTTCAAGAGCTCTTTTTGTATTGGGAATATTCTTTAGTGATTTGATTTCAAGTATCATTCCTACTTGTCAACTTATCTTTTCTAAGTTTACCACCCTTACAAATGAAGTAATACAGAATTTGCATATTTGCTAATATGTTAAGCAAAATAGTTTTAAATAATAATTTATTTAGTAACTGTTCCATAATTTGTGTTATTTATTTATCTATCTATTTATCTATCTATTTTAAGATTTTATTCATTTATCTTTAGAGTGGAAGGGAAGGAGAGAAGAGAGATACCAATGTAAGGTTGCTTCTCGTTCATCCCCTGCTGGGAACTGGCCTGCAACCCAGGCATGTGCCCTCACTGGGAATTGAACCGCAATCCCTTAGTTCGTAGGCCCATGCTCAATCCACTGAGCTACACCAGCTAGGGCCTGTAATTTGTCATATTTAAATACCATGTTTTAAATACTAAATTTATATATTTTTTATATAATTTAATTTCTCAAGTATTTTTTCTTTATGATTTCTTCTTTTTGTCATAAGTTTAGAAAGGTCTTTTTCTAATTCCAAAGTTACAATAGAATTCCCATTTTTTCTTCTACTTTTATGTTTTTACATTTATGTTTTTGATCTATTAGTTTATCCACATGTACCATATGGCATACAAGTCGAATTTTATTTTATTTTATTTTTCCAAATGCTTGTCTGTAGTTCTAATACCATTTATCAAAAACTCGATTTGTCTAACATTAGTTTGATATGTTGCTTTTGTCATGTACTGCATTTTTCTATTTGGGTCTATTCCTGGACTGTCTATGCCAGCGATTTTCAACATTTTTCATCATATAACACACATAAACTAATAACTAAAATTCTGCAGCATGCCAAAAAAATACATATTTTTTTCTGATCTGACAAAAAATAGGTATAATTTTGATTTCACTCACACCAGTTGGCTATTGTTGTGTTGGTTGTTGTTGTTTTTATTTTATTTGACAATCTAAGGGGAAAGAGGTCAGTACCCCTGACTCAATAGTCAGGTATTACATGTTTTAAAAATTCACATAGCACACAAACATTTTATTTATGTATTTATTAGTTGATGGATATTTAATATTCTATTTTTAGGATATTATAAAAGTGCTTTAAATATTCATGTATATGTTTTTGTGTGGACACATTTTCATTTTGGGGGATTTTCTAGGAGTGGTCATTGCAGAGTCATAACAACTTTTTCTGTCTTTTTTTGAGAAGTTGCTGAATTGTTTTCCAAAGTAGCTGTGCCACTTTACATTCCCGTCAGCCACGTACATTGGTTCTAGTGTCTCTGCCTGTTTACTAACACTCGTTCCTGTTTGCCTCTGATTATAGCCATTCTAGTGAGTGTGTAGTGGTACATCACTGTGGTTTTGATTTGCATTTCTCTTTTGATTAGTAATGTTGACCATTTTTTTCATGTGCTTATTGACCACTTGTATATCTTCTTTGAAGAAATGTCTATTCAAGTTTTTGTACATTTTGAATTGGGTTATTTGTCTTTTGTTGTTAAGTTGTAAGAGTTCTTTATATTCCGGATATTGGTTTTTTGCTAGATATATGATTTTAAAATGTTTTCTCTGACTCTGTGGGTTGGTTGTCTTTTTTATTTGATAGTATCTTGATGCACAAAAGTTTTATAATTTTGATGGGGTCAAATTTATTTTTCCCTCTTGCTGCTTGTCCTTTTAGTGTTGTAGCCAATAAATCATTGCTAAATCCAGTGCCATGAAGAGTTTTTTCCCTATGTTTTCTCGTAAGGTTTTTTTAGTTTTAGCTTATATGTTTAGTTTTCTGATCCATTTTGAGTTAATTTTTATATGTGGAATAAAGTGAAGGTTCAGTTTCAATTTGCATATAGCTATACAATTTTCCCAGAACAATTTGTTGAAAAGATTGTCCTTTCTCTATGGAATGGGTCTTGGCCCAGAGTTCACTTCTGGGCGTTCTTTTCTGTTCCGTCTGTCTATATGTCTGATGCTTAATGCCAGCTTTGTCTTTCTTAAGATTATTTTGGCTATTTGATGTCCCTCAAAATTCCATGTGAGTTTTAGGATGGGTTTTCTGTTTCTACTAATGATACCCAATGGGATTTTCATAGGGATTGCACTGAATCTTCAGGTCACTTTGAATACTGTTGTCATCTTTATAATATTTAAGTCTTCCTCATGAACACAGATTTCTTTCCATCTATTTGTCTTTATTGCTCACAGCAAATTTTTTGCCATCTTGGTTAAATTTATTTCTAAGAATTTTTTTCTGTTTGGTGCATTCATTCCCTTGACTTGTAAGAGTTATATATAAAGATACATGTGGGCCCTGGCTGGTGTAGCTCAGTGGATTGAGCGCGGGCCTTCGAACTAGACAATCGCGGTTCGATTCCCAGTCACGGCACATGCCTGGGTTGCAGGCCAGTTCTCAGCAGGGGATGCATGAAAGGCAACCATACATTGATGTTTCTCTCCCTCTCTCCTTCCCTTTCCCTCTAAAGATAAATAAAAATTAAAAAAAATATATATATATATATATAAAAAGATACATGTGCACACAGATATGTTGCAAATATATATTTTTTGGTTTGTCATGTTTCTTCCAAATATGCTAATGGTGGTTTTTTTGCTTTGCAAAAGTTTATGTAGGTAATTTTACTTTTATGGATCTAGAATCTTAATTATGGTTAAAAAAATCTTTTCCTTCATCTACATTGAAGAAATTTGCCCATATTTTCTTCTAGTAGTGGGTCGTTTTACTTAAAATAATTTAGGTCTCCAACCCATTTGGATTATTTATTTATGTGGAATGAGATACAAATCCAATTTTGTCACTTACCAAATAAGAATAATTCAGTTATCTCCAAACCTTTTATTTATAAAAGACATCTTTCTCCAGTGATTCGAGATGCCACTTTTGTTATACTGACTTTTCATATACACTTGGATTTGTTTCCTGAGTCTATTTCAGTGGTCTGTGTTTATTTTTAAACAGTTTATAATTAAGAAAGTTTAGAATTCCATATCAGGGCTGTTTTGAGTAGGAGCTATTTGTTATGTTTCTTATGTGAAATGTATTATTTTTTTCCCTTTAATATTAAGGGTCCCTTTTTCTTTAAATAAATGAAACTTTTTCATTCCATCTTCTGCTTAACTTTTACTCTTGCATTGGTGGGACTTCTTTGTAGCGGTGCACGGTGGGGACACGAGGCACAATAAGTTAGTTGAAGTTCTAGTTTTGCTGGTAGTCCTGCCTGGGAGCCATAGCCTCTTTTCAGTCCTTTTTGCTTATTCATCTCTTGCTGTGAAAATGTGGGTTAAAAATGTATGTATTTGTTTTTATTTAATCCTAATTATAGCAGATAACTCTCGAGTGTGTTTAAGAACTAATAAATTGACAATAACAAGTTGTGTTTTATACGAACACAGGTAGGCTCTGCTAAAATGACTTGTACATCTCTAAAACGTCAGAGTGTGGGTAGAGTAGGTGAGGTTATAGGTCTCACCGATGTTACTTGGTCAAACTACGTTACTGATAGGCTTATATACAATGCTTTAGTGTTAGATAAGAATATTTTGTCATTAGTATAGCAGGTCTTTAATTTCTTACAAATTAACTGACACTATCAATGTTCTTATAGCAGAAATAAGAAAGATAAAAAGAGAGAAAAAGAAAGGGACCATATCAGTGAAAGAAGAGAGAGAGAGCGTTCAACTTCTACAAGGAAGAATTCTAACGACAGAGATGGGAAGGAAAAGTTGGAGAAGAACAATACTTCACTTAAAGTAAGCAATGGTCATTCACTGTTTAGGCTGTGAATTATTAATAATTGAGATTGTTCTTTGTCGCATAGAAGTAGTTTTAGGCTAAAAGCTCCTTGAGGGCAATTGTGTCTTACATGTTTTTTCAATATTTTCTCATATCATTGAGTTTTAAAAAAAAAAACTAAATTTTGAGGGGATGAGATAAAGGTAATTGAAATTTAAGCAATCACATTTCTTATTTTAGAGAATCGTAGAATGGCATATAAAAAGAAAAAATTTAAACTAGCTACATGTAACAGATATGTTTGCTTTTATACTAAGATTTCTACGTGACACCCTTTTCCTCAGTATGTTTGTTTCAGCAAGATCGACGGTTCTGTCATTATTGGTTTTGTAATATATACTGAAGTTAGGTTTGTTGAACTAGAATAATTAATGGCAAACCAAATTTCACCAAGTAAGGTTTTTTGAATGAGTATTGTAAGAGCTTATGAAATATGTTAGTTCATTTGTTTTACTGGTATAATCTGTATTGAAAATTAATTATGAGTTCTGGAGCTTTCATCTTAACACTTTTATTTACTCATTCTGATAATAGTTTATTGTCATTGGTAATATTGGTAACTTGGGTTTCTTAAGCACTTACCATGTGCCAAGCACTATTGTGCATATTGTCATAAGGTAGAATTAATACCTTACGATGAGGGCAGAATTTGAACTGTTCTTGAACAGTCTTTGTTAGGAGGAATGGTGATTTCCTTTTCTGTATTCCCTTGTTGTTGCTTCCTTGGGATTCAGATCACAAATCTACCCTGGCGTCCTTGGGGCTGGTAACTGTGCTACTCTTTCAGCAGACCTGCCACACTTTTTGAAGTCAGAGAACATGTACTGAACAGTTCCTTAGATTTTCTGTTCATCTATTTTTATTTTAATTTAATTTCCATGGATTGTCTGTCTTTTAGGAGAAGTACAAAAAACATACTGATACATGTTTGCATGTCTTATTTATATGAAGAGGTAATGGGGAAAATATCCCATTTTATTAATTCCCAAAACATAAAGCCACATATTTTAGCCATAAGCAGAGGTAGTAGCAGGCAACTCTTGAGAAAAATACTAAATGTCTATCTTAATATTCATTGTAGGAGAAGGAGCACAATAAAGAACCAGAATCAAGTGTGAGTAAAGAAGCAGATGACAAGGATGCACCTAGGACTGAGGAAAACAAAGTGCAGCAGAATGGGAATTGTCAGCCAAATGAAGAAAACCTCTCTACCAAAACAGAAGCGGTATAGGACCAACAAATGCACCTCTAAACACACGCTGGAATAAAATCCAAAGCTTTTAATTCTCTTAACAAGATGTTAAACGGTGAAGAGATCCAGTTGAGTATAAAGATATGCGCTAACAGCTGTTCTAGTTGTTAGGTGACCTTGTGGCCATCTTGTTACTGAGTAAGAAAATAAAGCATGGACATCATGAAAATACCAGATGTTACCCAAACCTCATCTTGTAAAATCTGTGCATTTCCATGGTGGCTGACACACTTGTCATGTGGTTTGTTAGTGTTTGCCAAGAACCATTACAAGTAAATGGGACATTAAAGATCCAAATTTGTACTATCCATAAAGACTGGAGACAAGCATTGGAGGCTCTTTTAAAAAGTTCTGGTTACTGAATTTTTGTATTGTTTTACCTTTTTTTTTTTTAAACTTCAATATATACAAATTGATGATGTGCTTGAATTGGTGCAAATATATACCCACCCTTGTAAGTGCAAATATGTAAGAAGTTTTAACACTTCACAGGATTTATAGTGATTGTGTTAAATTCTCACTATTGTGTTTTCTTTTTCTCACTGTTTAGGACAGCAGTTTTTCTTTAAAATAGTTTTACAGATTAAAATTGCTTAAATAAGTGGGTTAAAAAACAACCTTCAATGCATGCTACTACTGTTCTTTTTCCAAAGGAAGAATGACTCTGTTGAATACTAATAATAATGTATTAGTATTCGGTGTTTAGAATCATTGGATTTCCCCACAAAGTAAGCACTTCTTTTTTAACTTTCTTGACATTTCCAAGCTTATTATAAATAATATTGCAGTGTATGTTGTCAGCAGTAGGTGGCAAAGGTGTCATTATAAAAAGAAAACTTGGGTTTTCAAAATGGGCTATGGGAGCACAAGCTGAAGCTTTAGTGCCTTCTACAATGTGGTATACTGTTTTCTAGAATTTTATATGTGCTAGTCATTCTCAAGTCATACAGAATTTAGATGGATATTTCATTCACTCCCATAGAGAAGTGTGTAAGTGATATCAGAGCTTCTTATTTAGTTCACCTAACATGAGAGGGAAGTCCTGTTTTCAAGAATGACTTTAGAGCTTTTAAAACGACAGTGCAAGTTTTGGGACCATCAGTTTTATACTGTGATAATTAAAAATGAAGCATGTTCTTAATTTACTTACCCTTTAGTTGTCTATATGGATGGCCTTAATTATTACCTCTCAATCATTTTCTCATAAATGGTGTGCAGAAATTGTACTTACAGGAGAACACACGAGGTTGTTTTATGTTTAAGGATATGTTTACTTGGTTTAAAATACAGGTCATCCATCATTCTTAGGTTCACTTTTGAAGAAAGTATGCAAGTAGTGAAATGATTAACATCGTTAATATTTTCCCCAAAACCATAACTCATGGTTTCAAAACTTTTCATTATTGTTTATATTTCCAAAAAAGTTACACCTTTTAATTAGTATGTTCTTGAAAAATCAAGTATAATTATTTTATTACAATCTAATACAATCAAATTACTCAGTTGCCTTACCTCATCTTATAGATTTAAAAAGCTGTGTGGCACATCAGTTTCTTGGTTTCAACATGAGTTTTCTTTTAATGTTAATATTATTGAAACTTAAGTATTTGGTGAAGAATGGAAAGAATTGCCCTTATTGCAAATAATGAAGCCTGATTTGATTATGAAGCTGCTTAATTACTCTTCATGTGTCCAGAATTACTGTGGTATTTTTTCCTTTTTGTCACTGTGTACATTAAAATTTTTGAAAATGCTTTACTATGTAAAGTATAGATGGTCATTTTAATCATTCAACCACATACGGTTGGCTGGTAAACAGCTTATTCTGATACAAGAATGCTTGGTGAATATGGAAAGATCGTGAAGGAGTACTTATGTCTAGCATCAACAGTTGTCTTATTTATGATATGTAAGTAGAATAGAGCAAATGTTTGAATCTTTGTTATTTTTAGTACCATTTCTCTAATAAAGCTAAGTATTTTAGAGGAAAGTATTTGTTTATGCATTTCAAAACAGCATCTTAGTTTTATCCTGTTCTTTTTTCAGTTACTATAGAACTTGTTTTGACGTGGAGTGCATGTTTGTGTGGTGTCTATAAAACAGTCATTTAAACTTTGAGGTGTTTCCTATTAAATGTTTTTGATGTTGTAATTAACATATTTAATTTGGGTCCTGCTGCTAATTATTTTTCTTGCTGATATTTAATCAGTTTTAAAATAATGAAAGACGGTGATTTATAAAAGGTGGACATAAGTAGGAATATAAGAGACCTGGAAAAAGTGAAATCATTTTCTTCATTTAGGGCTTGTGGAAGCAAAGTGTTCTAGGGCCTATAGATACGGGGGGGTGGGGGGCGGTGGGTGAGAGACAGATAAAACGTTCTCTTTGTTCACTTATGAGAGCTAATATGTTTCCATTGTTTGTTACTTTCTCTCAAGGTATTTTGTTTTTTCTTTAAAATTATTCTTGTTCATGCCAGGTGTAGATGTTGTCAGAAGAACTTGAGATAAGGCCAAGAAGACAGCCATTTTATACTTGAAGCCTTCTGTAAATTACCTTTTTTAGCTCGACCACACAGAGAATATACTCTGTTCCTTAAATTGTGATTGCTCTTCATCATTCTAGACAAATTCTGTTGGCTCTCTGGTTCTTGCTTTTCAGCAGGGCACACTGAAATGATAATATAAAATGGCCCTTCATAAGGTAGCCAGTTTCATGTGAGAAAACAAGTATAAACTTTAACTTCTGCAGCCATCTCCTTAGTTATTATTTTCCATCTGTTACAATTGAATACTAGTCAGCTTGTGGTTTCCCGTTTAGAATTCTATTTTTCAAGAGGTTCACTGTATGCCATGTTTATCTTCAGAAGTGTCAGTGGCTTAAATTTTGACATGCTCAATTTTTAAAAACCTGACATTTCAAATCAATATTTTGTCAAGAAAATAATACCTTGTGATATTAGTCATTCAGGATTCCCATTCATTTCTATATATATTGCTAGATTATTATCTTTAAAAACTTGATCCAAATTTTTCAACAAGATAATATTCAAATTTAAGGATTATAATATACATACAGTAATAGGCTTTTAAAACTTTAAAAAATCTATTAGAAATAATATGGTTTGATTTAAATCTTTAGTAGTCAAATTAACAAAGTGAATCCTTTTGGAGGGATACATTGAATAACTTAACATTTCAATTAGTCCTTATATTCTTTAAAAGATACTATGAATTTAATTGGGCAAATGATGTAGAGCCATTTCAACAAAGCATGCTTACGTGTTTGAATATTTTAAAAAATTCGCTACTTCTATACTTAATATTTTCTTTATGTTTATTAATGTAATATTTAAATTTATCTTCAAATTTCAAAAGTTAGTGCTCTTCAAATGGCTAAATTATATTTCTGAACACAAGAATACAGTATAAATGTAATAAATTAATCTTTTAAAAATAAAATTGACTTCCCTCCTTAATCTTGGGTTTGTAGATGAATTTGTTTTCCTTAGTACATGTTTATTGATGATTCTGCCTAAAGACTCATACATTATTTCAAAAATAAAAGCTAAAGCTATTAATGACTTTCATATTCTGTTAGGTTGGATTTAATAATTAATGACTAGATTTTTTTCATTTTATTTTAAAGTACTTTTATCATTTCTAGCAATTAATTTATTATAATCACTAGTTTATATTTAATATAACATTCCTTAACACATTGTTTTTAAAAGCAGGTTTGTAGTCTGGTGCCTGATTTTTAAATTTACTTGTATCTAACATTTTAATTTTGGAAATTGCCAACTTCTTGGGAAGCTTCACATATTATTTTCCCAGGATTGGAATGAATAGTTCCCTTCATTTGTAATTAACATTTATTTGCTAGATAAATAATTTCTTAACCATATTAAGTTCAAATTTGTGAAACTCATACTGAAAGAATTAAGGGTTGAGATTGAGTTCTAGTTGAATGTTACGGGTAGGCAAAAAACTGTTGGGGAACAATCTAAAGAATTTCCCGATTTCCACAGAAGATTACATTTTGGTATACTGTGTATTTGTATAGGTAGTTCAGTTTAATGTTAAATATTACTGTTCTTAATCTTAATTAGGTTAATACAATAGTGTTCTTTACATAATACTATGGATTATCAAGGGAAAAGTTTAAAACGTAAACATGAAGATGCTGCATAGGTGGTGTGTGTTGTGAGTAGCACTACTAAATGGTACTAGTAAAGATTTATCAAATGATGCTGCTATTGTGTTAATATATTTTTAATAAAATGAAAATCTTAAAACTTTGCCAGTCTTGACTAGTAATTTTACTTATTTCGAAGACATTTGTTTGTATATTTACAGCTTAAGAAATTTGGTTTAGGATGGGGGAGAGAGGTAGAGAAACACTGACATGAGAGAAAATCGATCAGTTGCCTCCTATGCGCCCTGTCCTGGTACTGAATCCTGAACCTAGGCATGTGCTATGACTGGGAATCGAACTAGCAATCACTTGCTCTGCAGGATGATGCCCAACCAGCTAAGTCACACTGGTCAGGGCTAGCTTGTTTTTCTAACAAAGACAGTAACAGGCTGTTCCCAGGTTTCAAAATTACTCCAAATACAGGTACTGAACATTGGCCAGTCTTCATGTTCTGTGGCAGTAACTTTAGTCAAAGGCTTTTCATTTGAACATTTTATAGTATTCTAGTGATAGTTGATTTCAGAATCTCTTTTTAGTTTTCAGAAACGGCTTCTTACTAGGGTATTTATACACTGAAAATTTGTCACTGTTTTTAACAGCAAGTGGAACTCCTATTTTTCAGAACTACAGCACTTTATTTGGTGAATAAATGGTGTGTGTTAGGGTGGTCATTTAAGTGAGAGAGCCTATTAACCAAAGGTCCTCTTAAAAAATACATTAGCGCTCAGATACGTAAATCTGAATTCTGTACGACCTGATGGCATAGTGGGGCCAGAGATGATGGGGCTGTCTATGGCTTTATGCATTGACTTCTTTACGTAGGTCGGCTGTGGTTAAAGGCTGTTAGCCGTTTTGGCTTCCAAATGTGCATGTGCGAGGATGAGAGGAGAGATCTTTACAGCGTACCCCTTACCAGCAGTGAATGTGTGTGACCTCCACAGGACTTAAAAAAATGCCACGTTAGAGTAGAAACAACATGACAGCAGACTTTCAAACAAAATGGCTATGTTGTATTATTTTTGTCAGCAATGATTACTAAATAGTAAGTACTTGAGCATAGTTAGTACATTTTGTTTTTATGATGATTTTGAAAATTTTTTTACTTTTTTCAGAAATATTCATTTGTTTTCCATTATTTATGTGTTCATTGATTGATTCTTGCATGTGTTCCCACCAAAGATTTGAACCTCCAACCCTGGCATATTAAAAGATAGCACTCCAACCAACTGAGCTAGCTGGCTAGGGCTCATTATCATTTTCTTAGGAAAAACATTTTACGATTCACCAAAGAGTAGTTGTTTTTTTTTTTTAAATAGAAACAGTATAGTACTCTTTAACATAATAACCACAGTGTGATAATCAGAGGTGGTAAGTGGAATTAGTTACATAGGCATGTCCTCTCGTACTGTACTTCCCTTTCCAGAGTTGCAGTCTTAAATCTCCAACCACCTTCTCATTAGTGTAGCAATTGACACAAAGCTATTCTAATACTGGATATTTTAATAGATAGCACTACTGTACATTTAACCTGTTCCAAACAAAACATTTCATTTCCAGTTTCATGTCTGTACCTCTGTTATTCATCATTTTTCGCCCAAATTGTCATCTTTCTAGTTTTGCATTGCCACTATTAATTTGTCTTTATCCTTACCCGCAGTCCCATTTGCTAAGTCTTCCTGATTCTGCATTTCCTCTAATATTTTAGATGCACCCTTCTGTCACTCATGATTCTGTTACATGAAACAATCTGCTATAGCAGAAAGGTAATTATAGTGTTAGAATCAAGTTCCCTTTCCTTGTAGTTTTTCTGTAGTCTACTTATTTGACTTCCGGTGTCAGGACTTTCTCCAGATTCATTTCAACAATACTGGATTGGCCAAAAAGTTGGTTTTTCTTTAAGATGGCTCTAGTGGTGCTTATTTCTCTTTAACTTCACTCAAAACAATTTTGTTAGATTCTGTCATGACACCTATCATGTCATGCGTTTTTGTTATTTTAAAATATTTTTATTGACTATGCTATGACAGTTGTCCCGTTTTTCCCTCTTTATTCTCCTCTCCCCTGTACCTCCCCACTTCACATGCTCCACCCTTTAGTTCATGTCCATGGGTTGTACATATAAGTTCTTTGACTTCTACATTTCATATATTATTCTTAGCCGCCCCCTGTCTATTTTGTACCTACTATTTATGTTTCTTATTCCCTGTACCTTTTCCCCCATTCTCCCACTCCCCCTGATAACCCTCCTTGTGGTCTCCATTTCTGTGATTCCGTTCCTGTTTTAATTGGTTGCTTAGTTTGTTTTGAGGGGTTTTTTTAGGTTCAGTTCTTGATGGTTGTGAGTTTGTTGTCATTTTACTGTTCATAGTTTTATTCTTTTTCTTAGATAAGTCTCTTTAACATCTCATGTAAGGGCTTGGTGATGATGAACTCCTTTAACTTGACCTTATCTGAGAAGCACTTTATTGGCATTCTAAATAATAGCATTGCTGGATAGAGTCACCTTGGGTGTAGGTCCTTGCCTTTCTTGACTTTGAATACTTCTTTCCAGACCCTTCTTGTCTGCAAGGTTTTCTCTTGGGAAATCAGCTGATAGTCTTACAGGAGCTCCTTTTCTCTTGCTGCTTTTAAGATTCTCTCCTTATCTTTAATCTTGGGTAATGTAATTAAGATGTTCCTTGGTGTGTGCTTCCTTGGGTCCAACTTCTTTGGGACTCTGAGCTTCCTGGACTTCCTGGAAGTCTATTTCCTTTGCCAGATAGGGGAAGTTCTCTTATGTTTTCAAATCAGTTTTCCATTTCTTGCTCTTCTCCTGGCACCCCTGTGATTCTGATGTTGGAATGTTTAAAGTTGTCTTGGAGGCTCCTAAGCATCTCATTTTTTTTGAATTCTCGTTTCTTTACTCTGTTCTGGTTGAACGTTTATTTGTTCCATCTGCTCCAAACTGTTGATTTGAGCCCCAGTCTCCTTTCCATTACTCTTGGTTTCCTGTGCATTTTCCTTTAATTCACTTTTCATAGACTTCACTCTTTCCTCTGTTTCATAACCATACTCAGCCAATTCTGTGAGCATCCTGATTACCATTTTTTTGAACTCTGCATCTGATGCATTGTCTGTCTATCCATGCTTAGTTGTATTTTTTCTGGAGCTTAAATCTGTTCTTTAACTTGGGTCTTTTTTTTTTTTTTTTTTTGTCTTCGAACGCCTGTTACATAGTAAGGCAGAGCTTTAGGTATTCTCCAGGGTGGGGCAACCCACATTGCTGCCTTGTGAGGCTGCATGTGAGGGAGGCGTCGGAGAGGAAACAGTGCCTCTTGATATGCTCTTGGCCAACTTTCAGCCACTTAATCAGCAACCCACAAGCAAATTGGGCCGTTTTGGTGCTGATTCCTGGGTGGGTGGGTGAGTGGGTTAGTGTACGTTCTAGGACCCTGTGAGTTTCTCCAATGACCTCTCCTGTGAGGCTGGGAATTTCTCCTGCTGCTGCCTCAACCCCCATAGGTGTTTTCAGTCAGAGGTTTTAAGATTTTATTTCCCTGTGCTGGAACCCTGGGTTGTGTGGTCTGTCTCAATCTCCAGTTGTTCCTCCTGGTTTATGCTCATACAAATCAAATGTACGACCTCCCAGTCCTCCAGCCACCATTTTGTCAAGAGTCCTCTCTGCCCCGGCAGCCCATTTTTGCTTCTCCTACCTGTCTGGATGAATGTTCTTTAACTCCCTGGTTGTTGGACTTCCATACAGTTCGATTTTCTGACAGTTCTGGTTGATTTTTGTTTTTTAAGTTTTTTGTTGTCTTTTTGGTTGTGGGAGGAGGCACAGTGTATCTACCTACGCCTCCTCAGTGTGTGTTTAAAAGAAAAACACAAAGTTGGTGAATTTTTGTATAGCCATTTTAATACTGAAAATGAAAAAAATATGCAACATTTTCAGCATGTTACGCTTCATTTGCTTTATTCAAGAGGTAAAAATGCAAAAAAGATTTGTGAAGTGTATGGAGAAGGTGCTGCGAGTGATTAAATGTGTCAAAAGTGGTTGGCGAACTTTTCTGCTGGGATCTCTCGCTGGAGGACGCTCCTCAGTCAGGTAGAGCAGCTGAAGTTGACAGCAGTCAAATAGAGACAATGAGAACAATCAAGATTATACCATGTAGGAGATAGCCTACATACCCCAAACATCCAAGTCCATAAAATTACTGGTGAAAATGAAAAATGTGTTTTATTTTACATAACAAATTATGCAGACTTTTTGGCCAACCCAATATGTTGCTAGTTACTTAAATTTCTTTAAGTTGGTCTGTAGTTTTGTAATGTCTTTCTGATTTTGGTATATGGGTCATGGTGGCTTTCTTTCCCCATGAATACTAGATGGAATTTCCCCATGAAGCCAACCTGGGGCTGGAATTTTCTTTTTATGTTACAAGTTCAATATTAAAATAGATTTAGGGTTATATATGTGTTATACATGTCATTTATTCTAGAGTGAGCTTTGGTGATGTGTTGTCTTCAGAGATTTGTACATTTTGTCTTTGTTGTCAAATTTATTGCCATAAATTCATATTTCCTTAACTTTTAATGTACATTAAGACAGTGATATTGTTTTTTGGATATTAATATATTTTTTAATTATATTTTGTTGATTATGCTATTAACAGTTGTCCTGATTTTTCCCCTTCGTGTCCCTACCCCCAGCAGCACACTCACTGAGGCAGTGCCCCCACCGTTGTTTATGCCCATGGGTCATGTGCATGTTCTTTGGCTACTCCATTTCTTATGCTGCACTCTACACCCCCATGGCTATTCTGTACTAGCTATTTGTACTTCTTTTATTTTTTAAGATTTTATTTATTTATCTTTAGAGGGGAAGAGAAGGAGAGAGGGAGAGAAATATCAATGTATGGTTACCTCTCATGGGTCCCCTGCTGGGAACTGGCCTGCAACTCAGGCATGTGCCCTGACTGGGAATCGAACCACAACCCTCTGGTTCGCAGACCTGTGCCCAATCCACTGAGCTACACCAGCCAGGGCTAGTTGTACTTCTTAATCCCCTCACCTCTTCACCCATTTTCCTCCACCCACCTCCCATCTGGTAACCATCAAAACACTC